CCCCAAAACCCCAAAACCCCAAAACCCCAAAACCCCGGGATAGGTAAGGTAAGTTGAATTATTAATGATTTGTCAATAAAATTTTTACGAAAACTAGATAGAAATTATTCTTTCAGAATTATCTAAGTTTTAGAAATTTACAGAGCCATTACTTATATAGCTTCTGCTATGATCATTTCTTTCAATCTCTTCTTCCTCACTTCCATATTTTCTTGAGTCAAACCCACTACTTTCCTTGCTATTCTGGATTTCACTATCTTCCATTTCACGTATCATAGTTTTACCATTACCACTGATCTCTTGATTCCTTCTGGGGTCCTCTTCAGGTCTCCAAATATTCAATTGGCCAATGATTTCATCTTTGCTTTGTAGTTCAACTTGATTAACACTGATGATTTCGTTTTGAGGCATTTCACTAGATTCGCTTGATTTACTCTGATGGTTTTGTTCTTCAAATTTCGGCACATTCAAATTCAAAGGGTCTATAGGTAATTAGAGCAGTCAGGGAGTATATCCGATTTAAGCAAAAAAATGTGCTCTCCTCTTTAAGCTAAGTCCTAGTCAAAGACTATTTTAATAGCATTGGGACCACCAAAAGAATTGGTTTGAGGAAATAAATTTACTAGATTTTTGAATTTCAGGTTTCCTCGGAGTGTTGAGTATTATGTGAAGCATATCCTTGGTAGATTTAGTCCTTCTATAAACTTAATGCTCATAATTACTTTTCAGCATTAAAAGTAGGTAACATGTCCTTTAATGTATCATTTCCTAAATTTATTAATAAAAATAATACTATTAATAGTCGATTTTCTTGAAAACTCAGGCTTTGCTGAAAGAGGGCTAAATGCTTTTGCTCTCTGAGGAATTTGGGAAGGGATATGATTCTTCAATAAAAGAGAATTCTTGATTTCTTTAGCAAGATCTCCCCATATAATTTCCCTCTGCTTTAATTTATCCTTTGCAGCGTACGCTGCGAGTCTTTCAATACTAATTTTGCCGTTTTCACCAACGGGATTGCTGGTTTTATAGCTGCAATGGTGTTTGTTGATTATGGATTCATAAGTATCTTCATCATTCTTTTTAACCTTATTGAACTTTAGTATCCCCTCAATATAACTAATAGGCAGAAGAGCACATACTCCAGCGAGTATGAGAGGAATCCAGGCGAAGAAGTTCTCTCCGTCCGATAGTCTAGTCAGGAAGTACCAAACACTTCATCCGTTTATAAGGATAACGAAAAAGAAAATGTTAGAAGCTTTGATATCCATGAAGTATCCTACTTCTCTTGGTCGAGTATTACGTTTCACTAGCATGTATTTAGCCAGACAATATTGGTAGAGGATCCCAAAGAAGCAAATTATTGGAAGGATTGGGAGAAGTACAGTGTATGTTGAGCATACCAGAATGATCAAGAAGGCAGAAGTATATCTGTTCTCAAGGCCTATTTCCTGTCCTTCATAGAGCTCGTTAAGCCTTCTCTGTGTTAATTTCGATTTTTCCCCTTTCTTAATTTCTCTTCTTCTTTTTCATAGTTTTAACAAGTAGTAAGGATCCCAGACATAGAGGAGAGGACTAACAAAGCAGATGGTAAGAGTGTTGTAGAAGATATCTGCAATCAACCCAGTACTTGCAAACCAATACTTCTCTTGATAATTAACTCAGAGAGGAATGATTGCTGTATTAATGTACAGTGTTACTACCATCTTGACAGTCAAAGATAAAGTATATGAGGTGTAAGAGTCATGCCTCTCATATTCAGTTAAAAATCTAGCCAAAGTCTTGAGACTGACGTTGAAGAACCCTATCACCATTGCATTGGCAATATTGTAGAACATTAGGATAAGAGAATGCTCAATTTTGAAGTTATTTCCACTATCTTCATATCTCCTCTCAAGGCTATCTTTGAAGATTCCAAATAATAAGTTTCATCCAAAAGAAAATGCGAGCAACCCAAGCATTGCTAAGAACGACAGTAAGGATCTTTTGAATCTTTTATCAGCTGTAATTGGCAAATTTTCCCAAAAGATGTCAGTAGGTTCACCAGCTCTCTGAGTCTTAAACTTAAATTCTTTATCTTTTCTCTTAGATTTTCAAATAATAATTTTATTTCCAAATGTATCTGAAGACTCTTTTAGTCGGACTTACGTATAGCTTTGCATTAATTTCAGTTGCTACATTTTGGTTGTTAAAGATAATAAGTGCTTTACCACAGAACCCATTATCTTCCTTCTCATGAGCCTTATACTTCAGCTCATAATCTCTGATTTGTTTGTTAAGTTTTTCAATAATGGCTTCTTTTTCTTTTAGTGCTTTGCCTCTATGTTTACATTATAAGAATCTTTTATGAAGGAGTTGATTGTTATTAGAAACTGAGGTGCTATAACCGAAATAGGAAGAAGTCAAGGCACAGATGGGTCAAGGCTTTCTTAAGTTGAAATTAGGCAGGGACATTCAAGTGGTGTAATTAGAAGAGTTTAGAGGTTTGAAAGTTCAGTTTTGGTGATCAGTAGATTGGAATTGAAGGGATGTTAATGGTGGAATATGTTGTTTAAGGATTGAAATGAAATTTAGTAAAGATGCATTATAAATCTACTCTTAAACCCCTTCGTTGCTTACCTGCCCAACTCCTCTTCTATCTTAAGCTTCTTCCTGAGTAATTTGACCGGTTTCTTAATATCATAGCACAAGATCACGTTGTGGAGGGGGTCCTGGACTTCAGGCACGCCTAGGACTTCTTGGAGGTAGCGGGTAATGGAGGCTTTGGTCGCGGTGGAGGGGATTTTGGAAGCGAGCAGGGTGAAGTCACTGGGAGTGATGGTCTCTTCGTCGATTTTGGAGGCGAATTTTAGACTTGAGCATCTGTAGGTGCGGTAGCCGAGGAAGATGAGGAAGGTGCTGATGAGGTTGAGGGTTGTGATGAAGTTGATGGATGGGGATTTTGTGTAGTCGGAAGCGGTGATTCCGTGGTTGCCGATGGAGGTGTATACCAAAAAAGAAGGAGAGAGGACCCCAAGATCATATTTATTATCCTCCATGACGTTAAGAACGATCGTTGGGACAGAAACAAGCACGCTGATTGACGCGAAAAGTACCATGAGGAATATCATGAAATAGAAGAACATAGGGACACCAGTTCCAAAGATCTTAAAAGTCTCCACATACGTCCAGAATGATAGTCTTTTTAATTCGTTTATACCTTCAAGTTTGTGTTGGCATCAAGGTCATTCCTTGCCTTTACAGTGAGGTAAAAGTTCTGTCTTTGTCTTAAGAATTGACTTGTTACTAGACAGTTTTCGGATGTCTTCAGGTGTAAGGAAGGTTCTTGAAGCTGCTCCATGATACTCTGCTGTTGCTCTACAGGGTGGAATTCTGTTAAGCTTGAGTTCTTTCTCTCTATCAAAGTCGGCCATGACTTGGTCACTGGTCTTCTTGTTGGCTATGGTTAAGTTTTTGGAGTCGATGAAGTGTGGTTCAAGGTATTGAGAGTAGCATGAAGAGATACTTGGCATGAACTCTCCTTTGTAGTCTTCTAGAGAGTCTCTCATTTTTATTAAGTTTTATATTTTGAGGTTTGGGTTGGGGTTTTGGGGTTTTGGGGTTTTGGGGTTTTGGGGTTTTGGGG